TTAGCGTAGAGTAAATTGATTGGTTTCTCTTGGGATTGACTCAACTCTCTGGCCAATTTTTCGCTGACATAGTGCATAATTTTTTGCGCTCGATATTTTTCTTGTTGGATTCGTTTTTTTAATATGAATTCTTTTGTCTGCTTTGTTTACAGATTTTTTTGTTGCTGTTCATATTGTTGTACGTTGGGTCGTTTGCATTGATCGGTCGACTTCGTCGTCTCCGACGAAAAGATCTGTACTCCACCGACAACGATGAAGTTTTAGTATATAAAATAAGGTATGTGATTGACTCTCACGATTTATGTATCAATCGCCATAAATTTCATAGTAGCTAGATCTCCCTAGCGCAGCATCCATTCAATTTCAAATGACATCAAATTCTCTCATACAAAACTCAATTTCGATTCATTTTTTCCATTTTCAGCCAATTTTATTGCACCAACTCACATTGGGCATCACATCATTATCAAAAGTTGGACCGATTGGAGTCGCAATGAAGTGTTAATCATCTTTTATTTGTGTGCCACATCAACCGTTGGCCTGTACACAATGCCATTCATGCAGAGCATTCAGCCACAACGACACAAAAACCTTACTCGCCCAACTCATCGTCAATGGAGCAACGGTTTTAATACTTAGCTCGGCATTGCCGCTTCTATCAAGAATTTTGGGTACGTAACACACTAACACATATCACATTCATTCGTCTAATCTTTCGTTTCGTTGTCTCTTCCGTTGCCAATTGTCAATTGCATTTATAGAAATCACAAATTTCGATTTGCTGGGCGACTTTGGTGAAATCGAATGGCTGGGCAATTTCCAAATTGTTCTACTGTACAATGTAATTTTTGTGGGCACCACCACATAATGTGGAAATGAAATAGCCGATCAACCAACCAGTGCTATGTTTTGGCGATAACCAGGGTATAACCCAAATGACTCATTTGCATAGTTTTATCAAACGAAATTGCATCGAAAATTCTCAACACCATTCGCTTTTTTCTTCTTTCACTTTCTAGCATTGGTTTGGATTTGCACCTAATTTATAGTGGCCAGTACAGCAACCACAAGTCTTGACGGTCCAGCCATTGCTTTCAGTTCAAGCACAACGTAAGTTGACGATGAAGTTAACGCTTGTGAAATGGCGCGTCTAACACAAGTGTTTGAATTCTCAATTTCAGAACAACACAGTCGACAGCGGTTGGTGGAAATCAAATGACATTCTCTCAAATTGAAGGAATGATCAACAAATACACATCGGAATCGCAGGAGCAAGAAAAAGTATTCATCAATCAGGCGACACAAGTGAATTCATGGGATAATCTGCTCAACAAGAACCACAAAAAGATTGTCGAACTGAGGTCGAACTGATCAATGCTGTTGAAAAGGTTAAAAGTGAACAGAAATGCCTAGGGGATATACACCGAACCGGAAGAATTCATTGCACTATTGAAGAAAGACGTCGACAAAATACCATATAGCGATTTGGAAATGGCGCAAACATATTCATTGGCCGAAAATTTTGACACACAATTTTCACACAAGAGAATCCATGTGTTCAAATGACGAATTCACTGTAAGTAGACACAAACAAACAGAAGTTACACACAATCGCAGTAACTGTCGACCGACTTGACACATTTATCCATCTGACACTGTGTGTATGTGAAGAAAAAACCACATACACAGCATAAATTGATTTTGTTCGCATATTTAATGTGTCCATGTTTTTCGTACGAATTTTGCCATTTTAGTTTTGATTTTTTTCTGAATGATTTTTTTTTAGTTTTGATTTGGAAACATTAATGAGCCCTGATTGCCCGCCACTAAATGTTATACATCAAAGTGTGATCCATTCAACTCCCAAGACCGAACCACCCTTGCCAAATCAAAAAGTATCGTCGATTAAATCAACCAAAGGTTCGTTTCATACTCATTTCTCTTCTCATGTTGTTATCTCTCTATTTTTTGCGATTTTATTAACCAATTCTGATTAACCACATTCATGCAGAATCGAAATTAATGTCACCAAAAAGTCGCACATCATAGACTAAAAAGCAGGAGAAATCTCCTGTTTTGAATGTACGCAAAAATAATTCGATTAATACGGCACTAAAGGTACATCAAACGACTAACCATTCGCACAGTGATTCGCCAAGTGTGAAGAAAACATTGGCACACAAAACATTATCTCTACCACCGCCGCTGCCCCAGTCAAATAATCAGTCAGGTATACTCGTGACAATATGAGTAACGTTAGCTCGGACGATGATAGCGACCACTTTAGCGCCGATAAACTCAAGACTGTACGAAACAAAGCATCACAAAGGTAACGATTAATTGGCTAATTAGATAACAAAATTAACGAAAAAGGAAAACTTCGTTGGATTGGGACATTTTTTAAAATTAAACATGATACATTTTTTCTATGTAATTCTAATACGATATTTTGTCCATTTAGATCTTAGGAACATAACCAATCAAAAGATAACACTGATGCAAGTTCATGGAAACCCAAACTTATTAATCAAAATTCAACCGAAGAGTCGGCAATTGTGATTCAAAAGAACATACACATTGCAGAGAATTTGCAGAAGAATCGAACTCAGCAGCACATCGAGTAAGATTTTGGTTTCGTTTTTATTCTTGAACAATTCGAAGCATTTTTGTAATGTGTTACCTGAATTTTGTAGGAAACTATCGCATGACATGGAAACAACCAAAGTTGCCCTAGAGAATGAACGAAAAATTCAGCAGCTTCAAATGCAGGCAATAAACGCTCTGTGGAAGAATGTGTCAACGCTGCAGCCACCAACTGTAAATGCAAGTGCAATTTAAACAGCCGCTTCCAGTGCAAGTTTTAGTGAGCTGGAGCCCAATTCAACAGCTGTGGTGCAGGATTTAGCCAAAACATGTTCGGTCCTAACAAACCAGGTATGGAATTGAATAAAAGATGAAATATTTCAATGAGAGACGAATTTTTTTCTCAATAAACACTTCGATATTATTGGAGAACTAAACAACTTTCTCACATCATCCTAGGTTCAACAACTGCAAAGATCAATGCAAGACATAATCCAGTGCATGAGTGTGCTGCACAAGCTACCGAATCAAGGCGAAGCTGCTGGTCTCAGTTTGGAAGAGAAAAAGCCGGAGGTAAAAGACAGTTCGAGCACCCAATCGGAAATCGTGGCTGTTCATACGCCGCAGGTAGAAAACTTGCCGTTTTCGTTCGCAAGTAAATTACCGCGACCATCCACACTGTCGCTGACCGACTCGAATGGGTCCAGTGCTTCGATTCGTAAAATATCTGAACTCGATTCGGGATCGTATTTTATATTCATATGTTTCATTTATTGGAGTGCTCTTGTTATTGGGTATGTATTTTTTACGCCTCCCCTTTGAACATTCATAAAAAGTATCAACTAATTCGTTTCATTTTTTGTCCATTTCTTAGTTGGCTTGGCTAGTATGCACGCCGTTGGGTTTTATCCGATTATTCAGGGTCGTTCGCCAGGTGTTAGTGAAGCCACACTTAATATAATGCGTGACGTCAATGAAGAATATCATGCATCGCACTTGGAGGAGGCGAGTGTTCGGTTCGCTAACAATATCATTGCTGCGTCATTGCAACCGTAAACCATTAAAAACAATTAGTTTTAAACAATCATAACAATATCCGAGCAAGGCAATTATTGATGAGCTACATGAAAGACTGCACGAATTGCGAACCAAACGCAAAGAATTGGATAAACTACGTAGTTCAACGGCAATACAGCGCAATTTGATTTATCCATTGGCCATGCTAATGTTGCTATTTCTAACGGGTGTCACCGTTTCAGTTGTCGTCCAAAATATATTGGAGCTGTTGATTGGCATCAAAGCGTTACCGCTCAGCGCAAAGGTAAATTGATTTGCTTCGTAAAAACTAAATTTCGTTGAATCCAAAAACGGCAACGTATTTCTAACACGGCAATCGTTGAATTTTATTGCAGAAATTCACATTGGGCATCACTTCATTATCAAAAGTTGGACCGATTGGTGTCGCAAGCGAAGCGTTAATCATCTTTTATTTGTGCGCACATCAACCGTTGGCCTGTACACAATGCCATTCATGCAGAGCATTCAGCCACAACGACACAAAAACCTTACTCGCCCAACTCATCGTCAACCGAGCACTGGTTTTGATACTTAGCTCGGCATTGCCGCTTTTATCAAGAATTTTGGGTACGTAACACACCAACACATATCACATTCATCAATTACGCTCAATTACATTCGTCTAATCTTTCGTTTCGTTGTCTCTTCCGTTGCCAATTGTCATTTGCTTTTATAGGAATCACAAATTTCGATTTACTGGGCGACTTTGGTGAAATCGAATGGCTGGGCAATTTGCTAATTGTTCTATTGTACAATGTAATTTTTGTGGGCACCACCACATAATGTTTAGGTAAATTGATTTGCTTGAGAGATAAAATCAAATATGAATCGAAATAGACCGTTTTTCAACAATCATTCAATTTTTCCATCTTTTTTCTAGTGAATAAATTTACGGCCACTGTCTGGCAAGAACTATGCAATCGGTTAGTTGAAAATTATATCATATTCACAAATTATGTGTCATTCATCAATTGATTCATCACGCATCCAATCTTATCACTTAATTTATTGTGTGCTCATAAATTTCAAAGCAAACGAGCATTTTTTTTTAGTTTTTTTTAAAAACATTTTATGTATGTGTTTATATGCCTATGGCAACTGATCACAATTACAAAAGTCACAAAGAAAAAACTCAATCGTGTTTATTAAAACGTAGATTTCGTTCCAAAAGGGCAGTAGAAAGGGAAACAAATATATACATATATGAGAAATAAAGCAATTCTTTCAATGAGTAATTTAATTCATTATGTGTGTAAAATCAAAATCGAGAATAACCCAGTTTAGTGTCATTATTCTTTTTTTTATTTATTTTTAGTTTGTAGTATTTAGAATGCGACTAAGCAAATTTCGGCATTTAACGTGTAATTTATTTTAGTATGTATATGTATATTTAAATCAAAGCAATTTATCACTTCATTTTTTAACCAATTCGAAGAATACTTTTTTTCACTTGGCGTAGATCCTTTCAAGTAGCTCACCTTTTTTTCGAAACTTCTTCTTGTTTTTTGTTAATCTAAATTGTCGGTGTTGCAAGCATAACACTGATCAGCACTGACTCATATCATACAACAATCACACGTAAAATGCTTTTTAAGTACTTTAAGGCAACGAATTGTGAACTATAATAACAATATGAAGAGAAACAAAAAAAATAAAGACTTTATGCACCTTATCATTAATATCAAACACCTTTAAATGGCTTCTAGCATTATCTCTTAAATCAATCCCCTAGGTTCTATTTGTTTATCCAATTAGTTGAGAGAATCGTTGTAATTATTCCATATTTTCCCACTGATGACCATTTTTATTATCTCTTCTTCTTCTTCTCGTCTCTTTTTTTCTCTCTCTCTCTCTTGTACAGGTTACGATCTCTATTCGGATACAATTATTATAACAATTTCGAAACCCATGAAAATGGACATATTGCGCAAGACATATTAAACAACCAGAATCATGTTGGTAAATAGCACAGGAATGCAATCAATGTTTACACACATTTTGGCCACGATCCTGCTATTCATCGATTCAAATGAATGCCAAACTAACGATGAGATACCATTAATGATTTAAATCTGACTTTTAATTATTGTACGATCGGTTTTTTTCAGAGCGTGTTTTGGGCTGATGTCAGCAGCACTAACTAATGTCAGCTGCTGATATCAGTTGCTGACGAGTATGCGTTGCGTTATTTTAACGCATTTGCAGTACAAAATTCGTATTCCTTTCTCGGTGCCAAGTCAAATTTGAAATAAAACTTGACTTGGCAGCCATTGACTTGCTGACATCAGCCCATAACACTCTCTGGTTTTTTTTAGAGAGAAAAAAAATTGCATTTCATTTGTTCGTAAGCATTCGATCTAGTTTGTAACAATGATGTACAAGTGTCCATTGTGGCCATTCGCATTTCATCTTCATTTCGTGTAAAAAAAATTAATTTCCATTTTGAAACAAAAGACTTCTTTTTTTCATCACACCATAATTCGTTTTTTTTTGTAAGTTTACTTTTTTCATTCTTTCGTTCGTACAATGGAGAAATTAATAAAAGAAAGAATGAGACTTTTTGCCAAAGATGAACAAAATAAAAAGAAAATCAATTGTTTTATATATATCTGGTGCACAGCTCTGTGCTTGCCTTGCTTTACCTTACCAACAACCTTATTTCGACAAGATTATGCAGAAATTTGTATGCAACAAACGGAATCCCCTCAAATTTTTATCAATGAAAGCATGAACAAACATCTCTTTGATGGAGAGTAAATAAAAGAAAAAGTCGAAATCGGTGTTGAATTACCGAACATGAAACTAACTGTTCACGTTCTTTTTTCACAATGGACAATACGTTGTCAAGCAGGTAACGTGCCAAAGATGAGTGGAAGTCAATAAAAATTAAACTCAATTAGTTGTTTATCCGTTAAACTTTCGTACTAACTTTAACGTACATGAAAAATGTGTCAGAATTCATAATCAAAAAATCGTTATAAGAGAGATACAATACGGTTGAGTGCACTTTTTATATTGCCAGACACGAAAGCAGATCAACTAATAGAAAAAAGGGGTAAAATTCACTTGGTTAAGTCCGTCGCATGCAAGAAAAATCCACGCCGTTGTTCTAATCATGCCTTGAAAAAGCAAACACCTCAACAGTATAAAGACTCGTGTTTGTGTACTACCGTTTTAAAATGTCACTTTTCCATGCAACGGATTCAAGTGCCAATTTTGCCAGCAGTTCGCTAAGGCCAGTCAATTATTTTAAGTTTGTGTATTCAGAGGCTGCTTTAAATGCTCATTGACAATGCTGCAGTCAATATTTACTGAATAAATTTTATTGAATGAATTTTTTCAATTAAAAACGAAATTCTGTAATTGAATGATATCAGAGCCTAATATGGGGTTGTTTATTTCGAGTCAGTTTTTCCAACACCTCTGCCACCATGGCACGCCATTTTTCTCTCTTAAGATCGTGTGTTACTCTGACAAACTGTCTTCTGGATTCGATGCACGGAGAATTAAAGTGATTCCTTCCTAGTGTTAGTTTTTGTCGTCGAATCTGTACGAAAAAGAAGAGAGTTATTACATTGACACATAAATTAACTTAGTTTATGCATACTCCAAATTGACGTGGATTTCCTCCATTTGTATCCTTTCTTCGTTTGAGTAAATCGTTCATGCTAGAAATGCTGTTCAAGCGAAACTTTCACAACTGCGAATCTAGTTCCGACTATGATAAGAAAAAAAGATTAATTTTAGGGCTAAATATGACATACACAATTGTACACACGAGCCACAGTATGCTTTGATGCATGTTCGCATCAACAAATGTATGACCGAAGCTGCAACTGGTGAAATGTGCTGTGTGCCAGCCGATTAACTGGTGACGTGCATCGCTGAGTGAAATTTCGTATCCATTCTTTTTTGTTGAATTCTTGAAATAAATCAAATTTCTATTCTGAAATTCAAAAGTATTAAATGAAAGAACCATGTTTTATTATTATAAATTCAATGTATACAATTTTTTTTATTTCAAGACCCGATATTCCATGAGTCACATTCAATCAAAAAGATTAAAACGATCGGACAGTTGTTCGTTCCAAACGATGAAATCGGTCGAACACGTGCTGAATAAATGAACCATCAAATTTACATTGAAGTGAAAGCGTTTAGAAAAAAACACATATGTTCATTCATTGGTTTTTTCTTTGTTGTGATTTCATTGGCAAGAAAATATAGTTTAAAGATGAAAATCAATTCATAAATAAATTAAACATCGTATTCAATGGAATGTTTACGTTAATTAATCTTGTGTCATTTTAGTATGGATTCTCTGCAAAAGAAGATTGTCGTGTTGATTTATCGCGGGTAATTGTGTGCCAATTATACGTGGACCTGAATGTATAACTGCCACAGAATTATCCAAAACCAAAATCAGTTGCGACATATATTCTTTGGAAGCAATTGTTTATAATTTATTATAAATTAACTCTAATCGACGTATATACAGATCGGTATTTGTGATGATTTCCATTTATTGAGCAAGTGCTGCTAGTACGGTGGAGATCTTGTCGACGGATTCGCCAGTCAAAATGGTTCTGTGGTCACCTTTCACCGTCACAATATCTACTTTGTTGCTAACAACCTGGAAAATACGCGAGAAAAAAAATCAATTAGTTTATGTTCAATTTCCATGGTGATATGGGCTACAAATGGACACTCACCTCTGACAAACCGTAGTCAGCGGCCAGTTTGACGTAGTTTTCGGTTGGTTTGAAGAGAGTTACATTGCTGGCAAGTTTGCGTTCTGGTTTGTACAAATGGGCTGCCTTAAGTTTCTTATAGAATGTTGATGCGGCCAATTGCACAGTTTCCAATGGGAATTTCGTCTTTTGGCTAATGAGTTCGGCAACACGTTTCAATTTCAAGTCGAGTGATGCAAGAGAGTCAATTTCTTTGGCAATTTTAACGTAATCCAAATTGGCAACGACCAAACCGAAGTAGGCCAAACTGAATGATTCATTTTGTGATTCCGTGGCACCACCTTCTTGACGTTGTTGATGGGCCTCTGTGTACCAGCTGACGTATTTCGGTGAACCATCCAACATGACAAGAGTGGCTTTTTCTCCGGCCTTCTCCAAGAGTGACACCATTTCAAAAGCGACTGATGCACCGAATGAATAACCAATGATCACGTATGGGCCAGTCTTTTGAACGGTTTTGATTTGTTTAATGTAGAATGCAGCCAAGTCACTCAATGAAGTCAATGGAGCGTCTTTTGTGCATTGCAAACCATAAACTGGAACTGGAAGCTTGGCCGCCAATGGTTTCAAAGCAGTAACAAAACCTTCGATAGCATGAACAGCGAACAATGGACGTGCTTTGCTGTCGACTGGAGCTTTACTTTCGAGTTTAACCAAGACCTCAGTTGGCATGAGCTCATCGGTGAACACAACTTGAGTTCCGTCACCGACAGCCGATGATGCTGCTGATTGTGTGCCGTTCGTTTGAGCGCCGGCTGCTGCTGATGGTGCTGCACCACTGTCGCCCGATTCTATAAGAAAGAATTGAATTTCAATATTTTTTAAAATTTATCTTTATAAATTAATTTTCGTTGACTTACCCAAAGCCTTAAGCTTTCCGAACGTTAATTGACGGATTTCTGGTGCGCTCATAACGACATCGTAGCTTCGTTCCAATGTCTGTTTGATTTCGGCACCCATCAATGAGTCCATACCCAAATCAGCAAGTGATGCTTGATCCGGTACATTCTTCAAGTCTTTCAAGCCCAAGATGTTGGCAACACAGCTCACCAAACTGACTCCGCTGCTTTCGGCCTTGCGTTTCTCAGCGACGACCATTGAAGCGAGAACTGAGTGTGGTTGTTGCATGAAGAGATCCATGGTTTGCAAACAGGATACCATACGTTGTGGCAAAGTACCACCAACAACGGTGTCGTTGTCACCCAAACTGTCAATGACCAAACCAGTATCACCAATGGCTCCCCATTGGATGGCTGTACCTGGGAAACCGGATGCTTGACGATTTTCACAGATACGTTCCATGGCTGAGTTGGCCAAACCGTAATTCGTTTGACCGATGTTACCACGACCGCATGACACACTCGAGAAGCAAACAAAGTAGTCCAATAATGGGCACAAATCGCGTGAAGCAACATCCAAATGTTTGGTTCCATCGACTTTTGGTACGTTAACTGTCTTGAAATCGGCTTCCGTTTGATCGTCCAACAAACCGTCACGCAAGACAGCGGCAAGGTTGAAGATACCACCGACTGGTCCCAATTTGTTTGCTTCCTTGAGCAAGTTTTGTGCTCCAATCAATGTGGTCACATCGTTTGTATCGATTGACACTTCAACGCCACGGCCGCTCCAGCGACGGATCATCAACGATTGATATCCGGTCTTGACACCACTACGTGATGTCAACACCAATTTAGTGGCACCGCGGGTCACCATCCAGTTGGCCAATTCCAAACCGAAACCACCGAGACCACCGACGATTATGTACGATTTTTCGTTGTGCATGTACGTTCTTGGGATGGCAGCAAGCAATTTTGGTGCTGGTTTCAATGCTTTTTGTGATTCTTCATCGCGCACCTTAACAACAACTTTACCGATGTGTTTACCGCTGGCCATGAAACGGAAGGCTTGTTCAATTTGTTTGTCGTTGAAAACGGTGGTTGGCAATGGGCGAACAGCTCCGTTCTTGATACCTTCGGCAACCAAACCGACAACAGTTTCGATGGTTTCATCGTCACCTTCCATGACACTGTCCAACAAAATTCCGTGAAATGATGTGTTCTTCAAGAACACCGACATTCCCAATGGCGAATTGTTGTTCAAGTCGAGTTTTCCGATTTCCAAGAAACGACCATTGAGACCCAAGCAACGAATTGAAGCTTGAAGCTTTTCTTCGGCAAGTGAATTCAAAACCAAATCGACACCCTTTCCTTTGGTGGCACGCATGACAAACTGTTCGAATGATGTGTCACGTGAGTTGCTGATGTTAGCGTCAGTCAATTGTGGGAAAGTCTTCTTCAGGAATTCACGTTTGTCTTTGCTGCAAGTTGTGTAAACGGTCAATCCATGATGCAAAGCAACACTGATGGCTGCTTGACCAACACCACCGGCACCGGCGTGAATCAAAATCGATTCGCCCTTCTTCATTTTACCACGAACAACCAAAGCATAGTAGACAGTTGAGTAAACACATGGAACAGTTGATGCTTGTTCCATGGTCCAGTGGCTTGGAATTTCCCAGATCATGTTGCGTTGAGCGACACAAGTTGTAGCAAGTGATTTTGCTTGAACCATAGCCATGATACCTGGAGAAAATGGGGATTTTTGTTGGTTTAATTTCGTCGTTTTCTTGAACAATTTTTCTGCAACATTTTCGCGAAAATAAATAAATATATTGTGTACTGAAACTTACGTTTTCCGGTCGAATCACGTCCCGAGAATTCCAATCCCAAGATACAATCTTGAGTGGCCAAATCTCCTGGCAAAGCATCGGCTGCCAATTTTCCAGAGCTCAACATGACGTCACGGAAGTTTATTGGTGCATAGTACACTGAGCACAATTCGACGCGGTTGTCCTTGGGATCTGGCAATTGGCGAGTCAATGGGCTCTCAATCCATGACAAACTTGACAAATCACCCTTGGTCAATGCGTTCACGTAAGCATGTTCAACTTGCAAATTTGAGACTGCACCTTGTACGTCCAATTTCAAGTGTCTGAATGAACCCCAGCCGCCATTCTTGTACACACTGCTGATCAAATCCTTGTTCAATTGTTCCAAGTATAATTTGCTTGTGAATGAGAATTTCTCGGCCTTTGCGTCTTGAATGAATACCAAACGAGCGAATTTGCCTCCGTTTTCGTTCTTGATACAGTTCATGAAACCGACGGCACCCAACAATTCTTCGCCTTGTCCAACAACATAAACGTAAGTGTTGTCCTTTTCTGCGTTAGCCAAAGCCGATTTCAATTCTTCAACGTATGAGTAGTTCTTTTCGGTGATCAAAACAACGGTTTTGTTTCGAGTGGTGATGTCGATGACTGCGCGAAGTAAAACAAAGTATTTGTTTGCGGCACGTTGAACTGATACTGTGGCCAAGTTGAAGCTGGCAAACAATTTGTTGGCGTCAGCTTCGTCGTATCCAACGACATTTTCTTCGAGCAAAATGAAACCATCTTCCTTGATTGACGCTTTGAGATTATCTAAAACAATGTTTGCGTTGACACGTGGCACAACATCGTAGGCAACCACCAAATGGCAGTTTGATTCGACTGGGCCAGTGCTTGGATCTTTGGCAACGACACGAATACCCGATTCACCGACAGCTTGAACGTATGGTTCGGTTGGTTGGTTTGTGACAATGGCTACATCACTGGCCAGTGTTGGTTCGCTTTCGACAACGAATTGAATCGTTTGTGCAAGAGCACTTTCAACGGTTTTGCTTTCAACAACATCAGCCACTTTGACTTTCAATGCCCCGCTGCTGTTTTCAATGGCCAAATGGGCTGCAACCGAAACGGCATGCAAACGAGCACGTTCTGGATTCTTTGACAAGTCTTGGTTAGCATTTTTGAATGGTACGTAGTTGTATTTTTCCATAATTGGTGGCGATTGAGTGCCTGAACGACGTGGAGCCAATGAAGCCTTCAATCCGCGCAATTCAACACCACCTGATTTGATGACATTGATGTCTTTGTACATGTAAACTGGGACATCGGACTTGTTTTGTTTCAAACTTTCAACGATTTCAAAATGTTTCGATGGATTTAAAACGGCACGTTCGATACGGGTTGGCAAGTACAATTCGCGCAAATCTTTGCCCAAAATACTGAACTGCAACATGGTATCGATGAAACTGACCCAATTGTCTTCCCATTGCAATTTACCAGCGATAGCCTTCGAATCTGATTCGCTAACACCACGGAATTTACCAGCATAATCGTAACCACGAAGACGCAATTCTTTGTACACATCACCAGCCTTCAATGGTAAACCTGATTTGTCTTGTTCAAGTGGATCCAATGGTAATTGTTCTAATTCAACATCTTCTGGAACGTAGATTTTACCCGAAACGGCCAATGAACCACCTTCGCAGATTTCGAAACGTCCGGTGCCATCGAAGAAGTTAACGCCGAATTTGACTGAACCGTCTTTTGGCAAAATGGTGGCACGATGGAAGACAACATCTTCCAAAACGACTGGAGTCTTTTCGAAGGTGCTGTTCTTGGTCTTGGCAAATGTACGCCATGCCAATGTCATGTAACCAGTAGCTGGGAACAGAACACGACCGTCAATTGTGTGACCGGCCAAGTATGCGTCTTCGTCTTTGGTGAGGTTAACATCGACTACAGTTTCACCGGAGGTTGCTGCAAGGGGATAAAATTATTTATTTTTTTAGATTTTTTTGTATTCATCATTATAAGTCTCTTTTGGAAGACAAAATTAGTTAAGTGCGGTTTTTTTTTCTATTTTTTATTTTGTTTTGAGAACACTTACAATCCATTCCAAATTTCGGGACCATGAAACGTTGTGAGTGCTCCCAGCCAACTTTCGAGTTCAACATAGGGGTTCCGCGACCAACTGGATATGAAACTGGTGCGTACAATTTTGAAACTTGTGGTTGAGCACCGGCGGCATACAATCTAAAATAACAAAAGTCGGGTTTTTATTGAATTTGTCTTTTTTTTTCTTCCATTCTTCCTTAAACAACTCACTTTCCGATGTTTTGCAAGAAGAAAACGAGATTGTTTTCGTGGCCACGTTTCAATAAGCTCAAGTTGACGGCCTCACCGCCCAATGATCTCTTCAAAATTGCTTGCAACAAACCAGTTGGTGCGATTTCAATGCAAATAGCGTTCTTTGGAACGTGTTGAATGGCTTCGTGGAAAAGGACTGGTGAAAGCAAATTGTTGACATGGTAAGCGGCTGAGCTCTGTTGAGCGATTGGTGTTGTCCAGCCGGATTCTGGAATGCTTGTACTGAGCCAGCGTGATGTACGGTTTTTTGGGTTTGGAATTATTCGTTCCAATGATTTTCGCAATTTTGGTCCAGCATCGGCGATGTATTTGCTGTGGAAGGCATATCCAGATGATTTGACGGCCTTGGCAAAGGTACCTTCCTTGGTCAATTCTTCAACGAATTTGGTGATTGATTCTGGTGGACCAGAAATTGTAACGCTGTCATTGCTGTTGTGGCATGCAGCGGTTATGTCAGCAGGAGCACGAGCCTATTGTTTCAATGGAAATGTAACCAAAATGAGTATATTCAATCAATAATGATGACACTCAACAACATGAATCGTAAATGGAAGATATTCAGCAAATGATGCTCTAGCGGCATCTATACGGTAGAGTTTGGAAATTTGATTAAATGATTTCGTCAAAACATGTCGTCACTTTGATATTTTCGTGGGAAAAACGACCATTTTTGAATATTTAAAGATTTCCCATTTACCTTAGTATCTTCCCATGATAGACCGATAGCAGCCATCATACCCTTCTTCAAATCAGTATCCAAGATGCTGCGACCTCTCCAATATGCAGCCAAAACAGTTTGTTCTGGTGTGAAGCATCCATCAGCATAGGCACAGCCCAATTCACCAACTGAGTGACCGACAATTCCACTCGGGCCAATGCCCAAGTGGGTCAAAACATCAGTGAGAGCAACTTGAACGGCGGCAATTGAAACGAATGAATTCAAAATGTGATCGAATGTTGATTCATCGCTTTCGGTGAGGATTTTAACCAAATCAACACCTTCTGGGCGCAAAGCATCTGCACAACGGTTGATGCTGTTGCGGAAAATTTCCAAGTGCATTAAATCTTTAGCCATGCTAGCCCATTGTGATCCCATACCAGAGTAAATGTACCAAATTGGACGTTTATCGTCGACCACTTCGTTGACCTCGCGAACAGTTGTGATGTCACCGACAACGGTATAACCACGGTGATAGTGCAATGGGATGTTCTTTGAATGGATTTCGTTGACCAAGCTGAAGAATTCTTCATCAGTTTTGTTTTTCTCGGCTTCTTCCAAAAGCAAATCAACGGCCTCGCTGGTACGACCGGAGAATACAGCCAAACGTGGGATGGTGTCACTTGGGGTGGTTGATTTTGGTTTTGGGTTTGATTTCATGATAACGTGAGCGTTAGCACCACCGAAACCAAATGAATTCAAACCGATGATACCACCGTTCCATGGTGTGTTACGGTCAATAACTTTAACACGGCCGTCAACAATACCGTACAAATCTGGATTTGGTGATTTGTAGTGCAAGTTTCCTGGAATAACACCAGCTTCCATAGCCAATAAGACTTTAGCGATTGAGCAAACACCTGATGCTGGTTCTGAATGGCCCATGTTAGATTTAACTGAACCGATCAACAATGGTGTTTTACGGTCTTTGCAGAAGAAATCGGTGATTGAGTTGACTTCTTGTGGATCACCAACTTTGGTACCAGTACCGTGAGCTTCAACATAGACAACATCGTGTGGATGCAATCCAATTTCTTCATATGTTTCTCGAATCAAACGGTTTTGCATAGCGCCAATTGGGTATGTGATACCTTGGTCTTTGTAACCGTCAGTGTTAGTGCGAACATTCAAAATGGATGCGTAGTTACGACGAGCTTGGCTGGCTTTTTGCAAGAAAATTACAACACAACCATCTGAACGCACATAACCGGCACCACTTTCGTCGAATGCCTTGCATTTTCCATCAGCGCTCAACATGCTCAAACGTTTGAATTGCAATGACATAGTCGGTTTCAAAATGAGACCAGCTCCGGCAACAATAGCCGAATCACAGTGGCCAGCCTTCAAATCGGAGAAAGCTTGTGACAAGGCATACAATGAACTTGAGCAGGCGGTATCACATGCATAACTTGGTCCTTTGAAGTCGAAAGTGAATGAAAGACGATTGGAAAACATAGCACGAGCACATCCAGTCAAACCGTAGCCATTAACACGGTCTGGATCGGCACACCAGTATTGTTCAACTTCCGAGTTTGATACACCGATGTAAACACCTGTGCGACTTCCACGCAATTCTTGTGGATTGAAACCGGCATCAATGATAGCTTCATGTGTTGCTTCGAGCAACATTCTCATTTGTGGATCCATACATTCGGCTTGTTTCTGATGCACACTGAAAAATTGTTGGTCGAACTTTTCCAAATCTTCGTCCTTAATTTTACCGATTCTGGTTGGTAGGTCATATAAACCCTTTGGCCAACGGCGTGGATCATCATTTACCATATCGACGCCATTGAACAAATTGTCCTTGAATTCTTCGATTGTTGAACTTTCCGGCAAACGTCCTGAGAAACCGCTGATAACAACCTCATCAGCCAACTTTTGGTATTGACCGGATCCACCCAGGTCCAGAGGTGCACCGGTGCGGTTGTTTTCAGTTGCTACGTCTTCGAATCTTGCAGGCATTTTCTTGATACGTTTTTGTTACTTTTGACTTAACAATTTCTGAAATGACAAATGGATAAAACAACGTTTGGTTAAATCGAAGTGTCCCAACTATTGTGGATTCAGAAAATTAACAAAGAGAAACCATAGAATATTTTCGTCAGAACAATTCTTCAGAAATTACATTCGCGCCACTAATTACATTCATTCATGGCTGAAGCATGTGCGTTTATTTTATCATTACTACAGCTTCACACAGATCAAACAACTCATTGCTAATTAAATCACATGCATGAGAAAGCGTTATCTATTAAAAGATTTGTTTATGTGTTTTCTTTCAATCACTTCATCAAGCCCAGTGCAGATGTTGCGCGCAAAAAAATTTAACAAGTATTGATAAGATACATGGCGTTTGAAAGGCTTTTTCACATTCGAATCAATCAAATCATTCCATGGTTACATAATAGTACGGAGTTTTTTCCCCTATTCCACCATCTGTGTTCGTGTTCGATTGAAATCAGCTATGGTCATAGTGAGTGGCGTGATATAGATTAGAAATGTAGATGTTTACAACCAAAATAACAATTTAGCCATTGATTATTTTCGTTATTCTCTGTAAGTGTTCGAGTGACAGAGAGAGTGCTTCAGATGAATTATAACGTGGTGCGTGGATTTCAGTTTCTGGGCTGTGATAAAATTAAGTGTGCATCTTCACAAAAAGAGTTGATTTGGAAATATACTTTTATATTCCGAAGAATGTGCGCACATAAAGATTTGTATCGGCAAAACACGGTCGAAAAAAAAAGAAAACATTTGCTATCGCACAATACAAATGACGTTTTTTACTGCTTGCATATGCCATTGCAATAACGAAGCTCTCTATTTATTGTACGTTTTGAATGCTTTTTGATTTGTTTATCCTTAAATAAAAGTTATTATCCATAAAATGTTCATTTGTTCCCATGTGTGGCCAATCGAATTACAGTTGCACAGTTTATATTATGATATTAACATCTCCGATGTTAATATCGGCCTGTTTCGCGCAACAAGAAAAATCGGAAGATTATGAAACAATGCTGTTTATTAATTTTTTTTAAACATTTGTTGATCGCCTGGATTTTTTCTCTTCGATTGGGTGCGCGAAGAAGCGCGATATTAACATCGGAGATATTAATATTATTATACTAACATAGCCTATTTTGTGCAACTGTAAATCGAATGTTATGAATGATTCATGGAAAACGCGCGATATCGATAACGGCACGGCTGAACTCATGTGTGTGTGAGTGTGTGTGTGTGTGTGTGTATGTGTATGTGTATTAAACAATGAATAAATACGTTGCGGTTACGGCCAAGTTCAGGTTGAATGAGAATTAGCTAATAATCGTACGTACGTACGTAAGAAAAATCCCAACAAGCACTCTTAACTGTCATTAGAGTGATAATTATTATTATTTAATTAAGATCAGGTTTCTGAGTACATACACAATCAGGCATCGTTCGCATATAGCACTCTTTTCAATTATTATGTAAAATATGCAAGATAATTCACGAACGAATCTATTGATATGAAATAGGAACAACAAAAAAAGAACATTTAATACAACAATTAACAAGTGTTGCTGTCACAATCAAGTCACACATGCGTGCACGGGATAAGGATTTGCGAAAGTGTAATCAAGACATGCTTTGCCTTTGAATCAACATTGCGTTCACCCTTTCACCTTACCCATTCGGAGAGCGTCCGCGTTATCATTGAACCGCACTTTTTTCACTTATTCTTCGACATTCATTTCGAAATTTTAAAAGATCCAAACATATAGAAATCCAATTTTTTTTCTTTGAAATATTCTTATCTCATCTTTTGGAGAAATTTTTTTATGCGAATACGATTGTAGTTTTAAGAGAAACATTTTTGAAAAGAAGTGCACCATATTCTAACAAGTATCTCTAAATCATATATTGACTTATATTAGCAGTGATTTAAATTTTTCAAAATCAAAATGTGTTGAGAATTGCAACTTGAGATTTATATTTTTGAAATTTTGTTTTCAATTTGCTCAAGCATTTGTTGTGTATTGATTGTTTCTTTGGAGCAAAAAAAATTAAATTCAGAGTGAAATTCTTCGTCAAACTGAAGTCAGTCTTTTCTTCAACTTTTTTTTTTTAAATAAGCGAATGACGATTAATGAAAAAAAACAAATGATGAAAAATTTCATAATACTTTCGTTTTTCTTAACACAAGAATTTTTTTCTAAACTCATTATTCAAACGGCATTCGTTGAATGAAACGACAAAAATGGTCTGATTCTACACACGCGAATTGCGTATTTATCTTCAGAAGAAACAAGGAAACAATTCGTTCTGTACGCTTTTCTAGAAATCGGACAATTATTCACGAATCATATCAGAAGCATGGATTTTAAGTGTAGATAAAATTTGAGTATGATTATAAAAAAAATGTAAAATTACGCTAAAGTAATAGCAACATACTGAGACGCGTGTTCTCACCAGGCAAATCTCAATTTCTCTTCTCTTTTGATCACATTCAATTTAATTTATTATCAAGAGTAATAAGTTTCACTTATGCAAATCTAACCGAACAACATTCCGCCAAAGTGTCAATCTGTGATTACTTTTTGAAAGTGTTGGATAAATGAAATATGAAATTGTTTGATTTAACGATGAACACGCGTGCGTACCTTTTTTCTCATTTCATACGGTATAACAATTATACCTAGTACACATACAACAATGGTGTTTTTCAATTCAAAAATTTAAACTTTCAATGATATTGTCACAAAATGTTCATAAAAAAAGCACTGTCAAATTTGTTTAAATAAATCTTCAAATTTACCTCAAATGGATGAGAAGAATAATTGTAAATTCTGGTAATCCCAAAAATGTGCTGAACTAAAGGGAAAAAATGCGCAGAAAAAAATGAGCACAAAATTCGTTAGAATCGTTTTGTTGAAAGAAAAAATAAAATCGTATGCACTAAAAACGGATGAAACTGTACTAGACTCAAAAATAAAAAAAAAATCACTCACAATTCAAACAGTTGATTTGCTTTTCAGTTAATATTCAAAGTAGAATTTCACAATTCTAATTCGTATTCAAAAGCCAGTGTTTATTTTTTTCTCTGTTTGGTTCATACGATCCAACCGGAGTTTGGTAGCGAACTGAATGGATTGTGCAGGATGCAATACTATTTGACTTTTCCGTGGTGCTCGCAACGAACAACCGAATCGAACGATATCTGCTGATTGCTATTCCGATGAGTGTATGTGCTTGTGTTTGTGTGTATGAGAAGTGCGAATACGATTGACATTGACTAATCTCGTTTCGTAGAGAGCAAAAAATATCGTCCGAGCAAAACGTGTACATATATACGTATACGTGCGTGTTGCGTTGGTTGGTGGTGTGGCTGGTTGTTTGTATTGTGTTTTAAAAAATTGTACACGCGATGCTCTCTCACTCACAATATGTACAAGATTTACAGCTACACCATTGTTCGTTCGGTTTGTCGTTTGTTTTTACTTTCGGTCGTCGTGACTTAGATGCGACAACGTATTAGAATGATTGACCCGTTTGTGTGTGCGGAGAGAACGAGAGCATGAAATTCGCATGGACAAGCGGTTTTTTCGATCGTAATTTCAAGTAATCTCAAACAGTTTGTTACCTAGTGATAATCATGTGTATGCACGCGAAGTGAATACACAAAAAAAATTCGCTTGATTTTTCCGTATTCACTTTACTAGGCTTTCATTTATTTATTTTGTTATTCTTTTTTCTTCACTTTATTGCGATCGCGTTCGATTAACCTTTTCCTGCTTTCTTTTGACTTTATCACCTTTCCTAACTCGTGTATTAGCTGAATGGCATCGATATACTCGTTTGTGTCTTCAATTGGTTTGGTTAAGGACGGGAGAGAAGGAAATAGATGGGCAGAGAGAAGTAGACATTGTAATACACGGCAATCGATTAGTGGTGATTTTAGATTCTTTGCACACTTGTTCAATTATTTATCAGCAACAAAAAATATACGCTATTACTGGTTACTGATTATCACATGGTGCATATGTACCGAATTGTCTCTCTTTCAAATCCGATTCGGTATCACGTTTAGCTCCAAAATCTCACCGTTAATAGCTCACATGAATGGCATGCAAGTGACATTACCGTACCATATGATATTGATATGATAAGGTGAAGCAGAATTTTTCGGCTGATTTGTATCGATTAAATTAGGCAATTTACCACGAGTGTGCCACTTCACGATTATAGCACTGCAATTGATATTTCCTTAAACTTTTTTTGGAAATTAAATAAAAATCGTGTAAAAGTTTGTTTGATAAATATTATGCGTTCGACACCACTGACCAATAAGTTGATTCCACATATAATCAGAATCAGCAATAATACTTGTCAAAAGAATCGGATTTTTCCGGTGCAAAGAGTGAAAATTGATTCATGACATAATAGCAAACATATGGAAATTCAAGGTCGCCTCTGTTACTTGAAGAAAGCAGTCATTTTTTAACACATTTTTATTCTAATTTTCGTTCAACACGAAGTATCCTTTTTCAAAATATTTGAAAAATTTCGTACAATTAATTAAAAAAAACGAAATAAGATTATTTTCACCGAAGAGAGTGTCAGGTGTTGTGTATCAAAACTCCAAATAAAAATCACTGCGACAATCCAAACTGTGTTGTTCTAACGCGCAATGAATTGCGTTCCAATAGTGCTATCCATATTTTCCATATGAGCAAAGCATCGACGATAGCCGCATTTGTTTTATTTATAGTGTTGTCTGCTTTCGTATCCACCATGACGTCGCTCAACTGAGTTCTCTCACTACGCTTTTCTCACGAGATACATTGTTTATTTTATTTTGTTTGAAGTGTTTTTTTAGATGGAAAGCGCATTCTAAAACGTAAAATTTGAATAAGATAATGGATGCCAAAGTATCAATAACTATTTACCTTTTAAGGCACTTTGAAGTTCTGAACCTTGCCCCTTTTAAATTTTTTTCAAAGGATACGAAGTTTTAATTGATCGAAAGTATCAACAAGTTCTTTTAAACTCAAGTAATAAACTTTTTCGTTATACAAAGTAACATTCGTTACAAAAACAGTCATATTAGACAAAAAGTGAATATTCCCTGGAACTTGGATAACATATCTGATTTCACACATTCAATTAAAAAAGTTGCTTGTAAATTATCAGAATTTGTGCATCAAGTGTGCGGTAACATGAAATTGATGTTGTTACCTAGCTGTTATCAGCAATATTGGCGTTAGAATATTACGTTGCTGCCTTTCCTTTGTTCTGTTGTTATTCATCACAAAACGATCTTTTCCTCATTTTATTGTGAACTGCTGCGCAATACTTATGGCAAAAACCAAAAAAAAATTGATTATTACTCATTTCTATTGACTTTGGATACGTTGTTTGACGTATAATAGTTTGTATATTTGCCGGATCAATTATTTCTATTATGCTATTAAAAGTCTTGTTCACGCATAAAATGGACAACGTACGTATCGAACGACGTCAGTTGCCGATAGTCTCCGAGAATACGATTGTTATTCGGTTCCAAAAACAAAACAAAACTAAAACGTTCAATCACAGCTTTGTAACTGTGTATATACGCTATTGTTATTGCTGAAGCGCTTCACTGTTTGTTACTATTTATAGTGCGGTTTTTTACGTAAACCATTTTTGGATTTGCCCATGTGAAATTTGGTGATGTTCGCATGATTTTCGGTCAACCATAATTTTAATGTTTCTTTCCATATCTGTTGTGGAATCATTCAAAATGTTAAATTATACACATTACCTACTCCTATGACATCGTTCTGATGAAGTGTAATTTTTCCAGGTGTTTGGAATTACTTGTTATGAATAGCCTAAATTTGCATTCCGTGCGGTAATTTATTTAAAAGCCATTACCACATTAAATTACCAAAACAATTCAATATTTTTCCTATAAAAAATCACATAATTTCATACAGTACAGCCGATAATGTGATAATAATATTGGCAAATTTATTGCAACGCTATTTGTAATGTTTATATTCTAAGTGCCAATAATTTCAAATCGTGGCGTGCATCAACCCGTTTAACGAAAACTTAATCGTGTAATTGTTGAAATCGCTTTGGGTATTTGATCAATTATTTCATCATTTAGAACGGAATAGCCTCGATTATCACCGTCTCTGTATGATAGATAGTCGGACTCTAGTCTCTAATACGAACGGTATGCTGGGAGAAAAGACATACAAACTAAAACCGCAGCGAAAAACGTCTCTTATCATAATCAGAGAGCATGCACTTGACATGAACACTTTAAGTTCATTTCAATGTTAAAACACCTAATGCCCGAATCGTTGCGAGCACATGCCAATGAATGCGATATCTCCAGTGACTGGAAAACGACTCATACTCGGTTGAACCTACGAAATGTACGAAAAGAAGTGAACACGCAGAAAAAAATTGGATTTTCAAAAACACACAGTCTTTTAATGTGAGATGTGATACAATCATTATATTTCGTCATGAATTATCTTGTCCCTTGGGTACTTTATGAGCCGAAAATTACTTTCAGTTGACCAAATGAAAGTCATCGAAAGGATGTGTATTGCCATTATTATCAACGCTACATCTGTGACAGCTCAAAGTCAGCTCCAATTCAACTCAATTACAACTTGAATGAATCGCCAAACCACTGGAAAAATGTGATTGAAACCTTCTGTAGGAGTTCGTCATTTATGCATCCACAACGTCTCAATATTGATTGCTTTTTAACTTTATTTTTGATAATTTCGCGTAATGCTTCTGTTTGGCGCGTGCTTTGCAAATGATAAACACGCGATTCAATTGTTTGTAATCAGTAACAAAAAGTGTATGAAAATGTATGATTTGTTAGCATGTTTTTTTGCTTGCTCTCAACTCGTGAATCGTATCCTTATCGCAACTTTTGTGTGGAAATTTTCATGTTTATAAATCTAGGCTCAAAACTGTTTTCGATATTGATAGTGGCCAACTCATTGATGTTTTTGTTTTCTCTTCACAGCTGGAAAATCTACCACTATAAACGTCAGCGATCAACATCAACAGAGACACTATAGCACATAGCATTAAACGCACTATTGCTTCACTCTTTGTACACACTTTGACATCACTTATGGTTTGGCGCGCGTCGTACGTTTTTCAAACGTTTATGTTTGATTCAAGTATTTCACCGATTTCACCGAATTTTCGTACTCAATATCAATATCTTCATTTTTACTTGGAAGTTTTTTTTTATTGCAATGATGTTTTAAAATATATTTTGTCGAGAAATATTTTTTTTCCAATTTCCAAAATTAAATGAAATTAAAACACATAGCATGAAACGTATTCATAGTAGAAATGCATATGTATTAGTTTGTACTTATTCATTATAATGTATTTGGATAGGACGCTAGCGCGGCCTGTGGAAAATTATTGTATGGAATATACCGGCAGACAAAACAAAGCATTCACTCATATGTTAATCACCACTCTTATTTCAGATCCAACATCAGATGTAATGTACTACGAATGAAGCTTGCCCCACGTCAGATCGATTGGCCCTACATTCATCGAGCATTTCTTTATTTAAACGTTGCTTACGTCTTTTGAAACGTCATTCGAACCACTGATAAAATACAAAACACCCATTTGCACGTTATGCAAGGTAGTACGTCGAAGATTGTTATTACGTAATAAATACATTGATACTAAATTGGAAATCAACAATCGCACCGAATTTGATACACTTCAAATGTTTTGGTTTCAAAGTGGCTGCGAATTGAACGTTGGTAAAAACTGATTTAGGCCAATTTGAAGTAAGATAATAAAATTTAAAAGGTTAAATCAAGGATATCTTACGCCATTTCATCTTATATGTTTTTAATTGAATATTAACTTGACAAAGTTAATAAGTTCGAACCTCTATAATTTGTTCAATTTATATATCATTTTTCAATAAATTGATTTGAAACTACCTCAAAACTGCAATGAGTTATTTGTTATGCGAACGCTCAAACGGCCATTGTTGATGTAGGGACCAATCCAGTAATCCACAGACATGCAATGGCTACTGGATGACAAATCTACAACACACTCGAATGCGTATATTTGCGCGCACATTAACAGTGGCCGTTTGAGCGTTCGCATAACAAATAACTCATTGCAGTTTACTTTTGAGATAATTTCGCCCAAAAGTAGTTGAAACCGCTATATTCAGTCTAGGTAATATTACTCACTAAAACACAACTACTGGGAAGAGTTCTAGATTGAGTTAAATGTTCACACCTAATCCAATGTATTGAAACTCCATATACATGCTCGGAGTATGTGTTTTTTACAAATACTAATCAATACTTCCATATGTATGACAAAAAACCGGCCTTTCATTTACATTTTAAATGAATATTGATAAAAATTGCAGACGGTTTAAATTAGTAAGTAATAAAAATGTAGCTCCAAATCAGGGCTTCAGAACAAAACCACAAATTTCAAGGAAAAATATTCATTTATTACAAAACTATAAACAGCTAACTTTCATGACATATTCCGAGTCTAAGCCAAAACAAATAATCTTGAATCAAATAAAAAATTCAGCACTTAAAACTATTTCAATTTGTGTTTTATTTTCCTATGAATGTTTCAATAGTGGGCTCTTATTTAATTTTAAGTATGACTTTTCCGCGCAAATGACCATCAGCCACTCGTTGATAAGCGTCGCTTGTGGCATCAAAATCGAATATGCTATCAACGACCGGTGTGATTTTGTTTCGTTCGACTTGCTTTGTGAGATATTCGATTCCTTGTGGCGCGGGCACAAAGTAGGCCCATTTCGAGAGTCCTCTGTACTTTGACATAGATTGAATGTTGCTTTCTAGTAGATTGACAATATTTTTGAAGAATCCAATGCCAATACCATTCGAGTCGATGTTTCGTAGCAGTGGCGATGAGAATGTTATATATTGATCGAATTTCCATGGTACTTTTGTGGCATATTCCAAGCCGAGGCCGGCACAATCGAGGACTACATCGAACGAAAGGTCACGAAATTTTTCAATGACATCGTCTGATGTGTAGTCGATAACGTGGTCAGCGCCCAGATTCTTCACCATTTGAATACAATCTGTGCTACATGTGGCAGTGATTTTAACATTTTCCGCTTTGGCAATTTGTGTGGCAATCGATCCAACTCCACCGGATGCTCCCAGAATGCACAACCGTTTGCCTTGACCACCACCTGTTGTTGAATCGAAGAACAAAGTTGCGTTAAATTGACTTAATCTTGGGAAAGGTCATGGCAATACTTTCAACACATACCTTGTGAAGTTACGGCTCCCAGAACACCGCCGATGTGACCAGAAATGAACAAGCCCGACCAAGCCGTTAAACCAGCATATAACACTCCAGCCGCTTCAATATCGTCTATCGTTTCAGGTTTGTGCGATATCTATAGATATAAACGCGTTTGTAAACAAAACAGAAAAACAATTAGCACCTTCAAATGGCGGATTCAATGCGAATAGATGTTCTTACACAACTTTCATCGACAACAACATATTCCGCATGACAACCGGAACGATGTGGTGGCACAACGCCCCAAACTTTATCTCCGATTTGGATATCTTCACGAACCGACATTCCCTTCCTCGTGACAACACCGCAAAAATCCCTGCCTAGTGTCAATGGGAACTCAATATTTGTGTTACAACGTAATACGTTCAATAGGGTCGATCCATAGCCACCTGCCGAATGAACAAAAACAAAAATGAATGCTGTTCTAAAGGATTTGTTTTTTTTTGCGAAGCAAACTAACCCATAATTGCAACATCAATCGGATTCACCGATGCGGTGTGAACTTCAACACAAACTTCGTTAGGTGAGGTAATAGTCGGGATTTTTATATTGTTGCTCAATTGCAGAATCTCAACGCCGCCATACTCATGAATTTGCCATCCGCGCATTTTGCCACTTTGATCATCTGAACCCTCTTGTGATGAGTGCAATGAACCTGTGGAGTTTGGTGTTTTTGTCGATGATAAACGCATCAGAATCAGACGTTCAATCAATCGATGCTGTTGCAACAATTTCACCGTCGAACAATACGATCTGAACGACATTTTGCTAGCGATACAATTTCTAATTCAATTGAATTCAAATACAACAAACAAACAAAGAACCACTTTCGCTTGGATGAAAATTATATAAAAAATCGTAAATATCTCGTTTCACTTGTCATATCAAGACAGATGTTCACAAGTAAAAATAAATATTTATGTGTGAACTTGTCGCGAACATTCACTTTGACAGCTCCACCATGAGTGTCATTTGATGTGAGTCAAACATAACCTATACGAGAACGAGTCTAGAGTTGTGTGTGAAATTTATTGAAAAAAAAAATTGAGGAAGAAGGATGTCGAATTCGCATTTATTTTTAAAATCGGGTTTTCCACGGGTGAATCTTCAAAATGGTTTGGGCCGGTATGTTTGCCAATTGCAACGAATCACATTCAAATACTGCAAAACAAGCGGCTGCAGCAAAGGAATGAGGTAACAATGTTATTGAGAATATTGTATGGACGTTTTAACTAAAATGCTTGTATTTTCACAGAGATTTCTTAGAAAATCAACTGTTGGATTTTTCCACCAAAAATCCGGGTGTGGTTGTATATGTAAAGCCCCGTCGTCATCGTCAACCAGTCATTGTAGGCGAATATTTGAATGGGGATCGCCACTGGTTGTGTGTCCGTAGTTTTACCGAAGAGCAACTCACGAAATGGATTGATTTGATGCGTAAACAAAATGCAAATACAAGTGTAGTTCGAATGCGAAAACAGTGGCACACTGATTGGCCATCGATTCAAGGTGCCTGGACACCGTTCACACATCAACATCCTGAATTGACAACAACAACGTTCCCCAATCCAAAGTACTCCAAACCAATCGACATCGAACAAACGGCCACCGAAAAACTATTGGAATTGTTCCAAAAACAAAAACTAGAAGACGAACCAGGGACCGAAAAAATCGCCCAACAATAATTAGATTTTACTTTAAATTGTTAGAAATGATTGTTTAGCTGGAGAATACATAGAAAATCAAATGGAAAGCTCATATGCATTCATTCATTTTTGTTCTATTCCAAAAAAAATTATAATCTGTATTGCAGTACAAAAACAATGTGAGGTTATGTTTTCGAATGGATCAATAAACCAGCCACTGAACCGAAATTGTATGTCCGTATGAGTGCGAACTGTCATCTCTCCTTTCAAACTCCTGCGACGCTTTAGTACCACATCGTACGTTCAATTTTTATAACAAACTTTTGATAACAAACACTAATTCTTGTTCTAATTGCACAATTTTACATTCCGATGCAATCAAATGGATTTATTTCGAAACATTGACAAATGACAAGAGTAAAAACCATTATCAGTTTGTGTATATATTTTTTTGGTCGCCGTGTAAATTTCAACGATATTCAAATCGAAATTGAATGGATTCAATAAGAATGGTTTAACAATAACAACATCTATGGCTATGATATAATTAGCTCGAGTTAACGAGCACTTGAAAAAGTGTATCAATAATTGTTTTAGTGAGTCATCGCAAATCCCATCACATAATTATTTTGATTTGGTTATTTTGACACACATATATATGTATATATTCATAAATATCAAGTTTAATGACGAAAATAGAAATTAGCCGTTTCCATTGAAACCGAATCTTTATCACATGAAACGAGATAGGTGGCCTGTGAGCGTGTGTGTGTGTTCGTGCCAAAGACAAAGACAGAACGGGATAGACAGAGAGAGAGCTGCGCGTTTCAAATGTGTGTACTAAAATGAACTGAGAGACACCAAATGAAACATGTCATACACCGACGCACGCATACAATGAGGATAAAATGAGCAGACCGATTGATTCAATCTGTGTGTGTACTAAACAGACATCGAGTACTACAGTTTACGTGATGAATGTAGTAATACGCAGAAACATCAAATGAAAACAACAAAAAAAGTTCCCCCAAAAAAAGACGAAAGAATTACAATAAGGTTCTAACTGGTGAACGTAAAATTCACAGGAGAAAAAAAAAGTGCCAGTGATGCTGTCAGTGGGCAAAAAAGTTTCGGATTTTTATTTGATTTAATCGGCCAATTGAATGCTGTGAACGTAGTTCGAGTTTTGTGCAATAGCAAATGGGATCCTGTGCCTGAGTGTCATCCGAAAAAAAGAAGTGAAAAAAATGCGAACATAAATGCAACGAATATTTCCACAAGTGAATTAAAAAAAACTCAAACATTGTGAAATGCAATAGTTTCGATGTAGAAAGCAAATGATAAAAAAATTCACAATCATCATCAACAGCAGCAACAACAACAATAAGAAACAACAACAAATTCCCAAAGATACCCAAATACAGAAAATAAGAAAAAGAAGAAGAAGAGGAACAAATAATAAAGACAAAAGTTTATTGCGTGAAATAAAGAGAAAGAGTGAGAGATATATTTGTGTGAGAGAGAGAGAGAGAGAGAGAGAGAGAGAGAGAAAAGAAAGAGAGAAAGAGAAAGAACAATAAGAAATGAGGGAATGAGAAAGTCCTGTCACCGTAAACGAATATGTGAAATATGGAGAAAATATTCGCATTTGTTGTGATTAAAATCAATTCGTGAAATAAAACATGTTTATCGTGTGAAGTTTATATTTCTTGTGACTGCTTATCATCTCTATCGCGATTGGAATTTTCGCTTAAAAGAAAAGGAAGAGGGCGAAAAAGCAGCAGTACAAGTATCAACAGCAAAGGCAACAGCAAGCATCGAAATTTTCTATGTGTGCTCGTATTTGTATATGTTATTGTTATTGCTGTCGTTGTCGTCGAGCTGTGTGTTGCTCACGTTCAGTTTTACCATGTTTGAATCAATATATTAGAGATTTGTGTATATAATCGCTAAGTATGCGAATTACATGTTTTCAAGCGTCACTTTTTTATTGTTTGTTGCTGTCTTCTCTCAAACGGCCGCCACTGCGCGTTTTAGTTTCATTTGAGTAAATTGTTGTCTTTCTTGACGTCTGTATTAGTTTGTTGTTTAATTTATACAAATTTTGATTTTATATCTAATGTAAAAGTGTTGCTAAAAAAAATTCGTCATTTGTGTTTTTGTGATGAGCAATCTGAAATATTGGAAAACATTCGTCAACTCTTTGATTGCTCATCGTGTATAATATTTGATACGTAGAAGAAATTGAATGATTCTCATTCAGTTTGTGTGGCTTTTTTTATGCAAACGAAAAAATAATTGTGTGCAATAATTCAACATCATTTAAAAAAGGAAGCAAAAGTGAAAAGTGACTAAAGTGATTTTACTGTAAACTGGCTTCCACAAAGGATTTAACATCACACAGGAATTGAAAATGATAAATTCGACGAAAATACTCGCTGCATCGAAATAAATTTGCAACGCGTGCATGTGTGATAACATTGATTCTCTCACTTGGCTTGCCATGTGAACCGACGAAAAACAAAACGTTTCGATACACTTTTCAAACGAATCTTTTTGATTGGAATAAGAAGAAAAAAGAGTTCAACGTGCAAATTGTCACACCACACAACACATAACACACACACAATCCAAAAACCAAAACGCACAAATTATATGATGCTTTTAGTTCATTATTCGATGAACATTTGATTGATTATGACCGAAGCCAACGATTATGATTTTGAAAAAGTCGACGATTCGCTAAAATGTTTGAAGGGGGTTTTGGTTGATTCATTGCGAACGGTAAATATTGTAACAGATGGTGTTTTTTGCGCATGGATGAGATTTAATTGATTGTCTGAATTCTGAACACAGGTCCTACATCAAGTGCATCCCAATCTATCAGCCGAGGATGACGCACTATCCCGCGTCGAATGCCTTTGCATTCGACTGCTGGGTATGCTTTGTGCCAAACCACCACCGCACACGATACAGGTAAACATAAATACCGTCGAATGGAATATTTTATGAATGGATTAACATTGGCATTTTTTTTGTCTGAATAAAGGATATCGAGGATCGTGTCGCCCGAACGTTACCCACACCAATCGATAAATGGGCGCTCACCGAAGCTCGCGATACCATCGATAAATCGAAGAAGAAAAAATTAGTATTGCCATTTAATCAAATTCAAAATCTACTTCAAAAGGTAAACTATTGATTAGTCCATCGAATTTTAATTTTTTTTATTCATCATTTCGTTGTTTATAAGTGTTTTGCTAAATTTAAAATTTTATAATCATTAAAGTCGATATTTTTGTCAAGTCTCAAGAGTGCCGGAAACAAACAGTTGAAGATTTTTTTCTGATATTTACATGTTTTGTTGACTTATCAATGGAACGTGTCAATTGAAGACGGATATAATCCTTTTTTGTTTCTGAGAAATTGTTCAAGATTTAGTGAAACACAAAGTGTCTTTTTCAAGAGAGTTAACTTTTCCGGCGATTGACTGCTCTCAATAAGTGACTAATTTCATTGAAGATTTTTTTGCATTTATCAAACTAATTAACAAATTTTATCTTTCATTTTCAGGAGGTTCTTCAATACAAATTAGATAGCTCGGTTTCGCTCTTTTTGGTGGCTGTATTGGAGTACATTGCAGCGGACATTCTGAATTTGGCTGGCAAATTTGTGATTAACATTCGACATCAGACCATATCTCAAGAGGATATTCGGATTGCATTGATCGCCGACCGGGTAGGTGTTTAAATAATTGGCCATGCCAAAAGACTCGTATAATTATAACAATGTATTCAATCCAACAAGCCTGTCTGCATACCGAAAATTACATGTTAAAAACAGCATCTCAATAAGATGTTTGAAGAGACAAAAATTATTTATTTTCATTCTGCTACAAAGTTTCGATGAATAAAAGATCACACCTTAGCGTTAGCTACCTAGCTTTCAATTCAGGGAATTTTTCACGCAAACCAGTTTAATAGCGCAAAATACTTTGAGTGTGTTTTAATTTTGTTTTGCAGTTTCATTTGCGTTTAAATATCAGCCGCATTCATAGAATCATATGTTTTTTCCATTCGTTTCCCATTTCGTTCAGCATATTAAGCTTAATTTTCTTTAATGCAATCACATTCAATCGACATTATTGCAAATTTTAATTTTTTATGTTTTTTCATGCTCTCTCTTTCTCAAATTCACACATACAAACACCAAAAAAAAACCAACTGAAAAATTGACTAAAAATAACAAACACACACACACAAAGATTAAAAATAGCAAATCAAATTATCCACACGAAATAAAGGAAGTGGTATGTAGTTTAATAAACAATGTTGTTTCTTCCTTTTCATCTGGCAAATTCAATTTGTTTTTTTTTTTGTTCGTTGAACGCAACTAAGCTCTTTTTATTTGATATACGTGTTTTTTACTCTATTATGTGGAAATTTGAAATTAGATTCACTTTCGTATAAAAAGAACAACAACAATCTGTGAAATACGATCCGATTAAAAAAAAAGTTTTTTCTTTCTCGAAAATTGTATAAAAAAATTAACCTTTTAGCATTTGGTCAAAGTTTTTATTGTTTCAATTTTTAATGTGACAAAAACAACAACCGCAGTAAATAGTGACACAATTTATTAGAATTTGTTTATCAAATTTACATGCATGCTCTCCTTTCATATTTCGTCCAACATTTCTCGTATTTGCACTGCAACAGTGAAAATAAAATGATACAACGGGAATCATTTGACGAGAGTGCACAGCAAACACAAAGATGATACAAACAAATAACCATAAGTGCATTCTTGCATCTAATCAACAGATATTTCTTTTCCAATCATTTGAAAAGTATCAAAATCGATTTTTTTATCATCTTGTATTTTCCCCCATTGTGCATGTTTTCAATTTCATCACCCGAACAAATTGTTGCCTTTATGTTATTGGTAAAAAAATATTAGCATCGAACACGGTTTACAACGCTGCATCTTAGTTGATTTTCAACATCCGCATTGTGTATTACGATAGACTGTATGTTGCAATCTGCAACATGCATAGTGCGAGTTGCACGCGGCCATTTCCTGTAGGATATCAAACTGATCCCCAAAATGAGATATTCACTACTTTTTTTCTCTGTAAATTTTCTGCACAAACAAATATTCTGTTTCCATTTTTTTTTCTTATCGTAGTTATTAGTCCAACCATTTTGTTTATTTATCGATTCTGAGTTTTGTGATTTTAAATTGATTGATCAAACCAAATCAAACCAAAAATAAATATCCCTAAATTCATTGGATATATATGTGATTTGAATCATTTCCAAACAAACATCTAAATGTTATTAAATGGTTGCTTTCAAATGCAGTTTCCTTAGCAATTTCTTTTTGCGTGTATTTTGTGAATGCATAACATTTGACTCATTGGGTTTGAATTTCGTCTTAGGTGTTGATGGATATGTTTTGTGAGAAGAAAAACATTCCAACGATTCCATTACCAACCACACCACGATCCAGTCTTACATATGAGGATGTTGTCAAAGAGCTTATTCACGATGTTAAGCAGCATCAACGTGATTTGCACATGATCATTTGGGTGTTTCGCGAAGAGTTAGCCAAATGTGTCCGAGATCCTAGGGAATTAGACGCAATTTTTCCACATATTTTTGACATATACGATGTCACAGTCACACTATTGGGCGCATTGGAGGATGTTATTGAGATGTCACAAGAACAGTCACCGCCCTGTGTTGGTAGTTGTTTTGAAGGTACAAAAACATCCACAAACAAAATTTTGCATTCAAACATTTTTCAACTCATTTTCTCTCACCCATTCTCTTTTCCCATCGACAGAGCTTGCCGAAGCGGCGGAGTTTGATATTTATGAAAAATACGCGGAGGACATAACATCCGCTGAATGCAAAGATGCTCTACAAAATTTAGTAACTCAACAAGATGCAAGTAAATTGTCATCGGCCGGCCATGGATTCAAAGAGGCAGTCAAATATTACCTACCCAAATTGCTATTGGCTCCGATTTGGCATGCGTTCAGCTATTTTGAATATGTGCGGTCGCTGATGGATTTGAGTCCCAGTCAAGAGGATCGCGAAGTGTTTGAACAAGTCCAAGGTCTACTTAGTCCACTCGAAACACGACTGAAAGAACACGTGGCCAAAATTCCAAAAGACTCCTCATTGCCATACACTCATCTGAATGGACGAGCTCGACGTCAACTTTCTGTTGAGAAAACGAGGGAGCTCTTGAGTAGCGTCGAGCACTTTGGAGACAAAGATGCCATTGGTCAGAGTTACAATGAATACATTCGAGAAGATACGCTGCAAAAACTCAGTTCAGGCAAACGAATAACTGAACGCAAAGTATACTTATTTGATGGTGTACTGATTTTATGCAAACAAATTCGCGGCAGATCGGTCAATCCAAACTCGAACGCATACGACTACCGACAGAAAGAACGATTCGTAATGCGACGCGTTGAGATTATCGATCGAAGTGACAACGATGATTTGAAATACACATTCGAAGTATCGCCGCAACAAAATCAATCGATTGTGTTGATAGCGAAATCTTTGGAGCACAAGAACGGATGGATGGCTGATTTAGTGATGGTGAATACAAAATCGATGCTTGATCGAATTCTGGACAGTATCCTGTTGGATATTGAGAAGAAACACCCGCTGAAACTACCTAATCCAGAAGTTTATAAATTCGCAGTTCCTGACAGCTCCGATAACATTGTTCTGGAGGACAAAGAAACCGCAGCTGTGCCACTGATCAAAGGAGCCACCCTCTGCAAATTGATCGAACGTTTAACGTATCACATTTATGCGGATCCAGCATTTGTTCGGATATTTTTGACAACGTATCGTTCATTTTGTACACCACAAAATCTGTTGCAGCTCCTAATTGAACGATACGATATACCCGAGCCAAACGTAGTTTACGAACAAGCGAATGCAGACAAAGATCTCGAGACTGATAAAATACACAAAAGCTCACAACGGGAAGACTGGAAACGATATAAAAAGGAGTACGTGCAACCGGTACAAATTCGTGTATTGAATGTACTTCGACACTGGGTCGATCATCATTTTTACGATTTCGAACGAGATCCGCAACTGTTAGAGCAACTTTTGATATTCCTAGAAACGGTCAACGGCAAGTCAATGCGAAAATGGGTCGAATCTGTTCTGAAAATCGTACAACGGAAACAGGAACAAGAAGAGAATCACAAACAAATCACCTTTGCTTATGGCAATAGTCCGCCAGCAATTGAACATCACCTACAAGTTCCCGAATCAGAAATAAACCTGCTGACACTGCATCCGCTGGAGCTGGCGCGTCAGTTGACTATACTGGAATTTGAGCTCTACAAAACGGTGAAACCTTCCGAGCTCGTCGGTTCGGTTTGGACAAAACGTGATAAGGAAATAACTAGTCCCAATCTTCTACGGATGATAAAACATACCACAAATGTAAGCGCAATCATTCCGTACCTTATCGTATTGTCGAAAACTAATTTTTGGAATTTTTTCTTTACAGTTTACCAATTGGATCGCAAAGTCAATACTCGACGCAGAGAATTTTGAGGAGCGTGTCGCGATGCTGAATAGAGCCATCGAAGTGATGATGGTTTTATCAGAGCTCAACAATTTCAATGGCGTATTGTCGGTGATGGCAGCCATTGACAGTGCGGCCATTTATCGGTTGAAATTCACATTCCAACGGTTGTCAGAGCGATATCGAAACTTTCTAGAGGAGTGTCGTGAATTGAGCAAAGACCATCTGCGTCGTTACCAAGAGAAACTGCGGTCTATCAATCCACCATGTGTCCCATTTTTCGGCATGTATTTAACGAATATTCTGCATATCGAGGAAGGTAATCGAGATGAGTTGC